TATATGGAGAGAGAAATATGTATATTTAATAAATATCTTGTGGTTTTGAATTCGCAAAAATATGCTACCATAGGTTTTATTATACTGAGAATAAAATCCAAACTCCTTTCTATGTCCTACAGATTGCCTGTGGTCATTCGTACTGTGCCCCTGTAAAGGGCATACCTACCTGTAATAGCCTTGTCCCCTGACCCTGAGGCATCTTATACTATATTCATTCTGTCCTTTCTTCTACTTCTCTAAACTGTCAAGCTATTCTAGGTCCAGAGCCTTTGCATTTTCCATCCACCCTGTTGGGAACACTTTTCCCTAGCTTCTTTGATGGTTAACTCTTTTTCATTGATCAAATCTTAGCTTGAATATTCACCTCCTCATAGAGGTGTTTCTCACTCCATCTACAGTAGATTTATTCTAGTCATTGTTAGTCACATTACCATCTTTTATAATTCTCTTAACACTTATTATGAACTGATATTGTTTTGCTTACTTTCTTAGTATCTATCTCTGTCCATTACAATTAAGTGTCCTGAAAGCAGTAATTTGTATTTTTTTTTTCTACGAAGATCAGTGGTTGGCATGTAGCATTCACTCAGTAAATATTTGTTAAATGCATGGTTGGCTGACTGGTTCTTTTATAACTGTTAGTTCTTGGCATTGATCTAGTTCTGTCCACTTTACTTGGCGTTTCATAAAGTCAGTGTTTTGAACCACATCTTACATTTCAGTTTTCTTTCAGTGACATTTGATTCTGTGGTATCAAATTATATTTGTCAAAATTGTAAAGGCTATACCCACTTATACTCATTCCTATAAGTAGAAATATTCATATTTCACTTTTACCAAATATGTGAAATCTAAATATCTAACCAATCAGCACTCATGTGCACAGATGGAAGTAAAACTCAATGGAAATAATGCAGGAGGGAGGGGGTGGGTGAAATCATACCTAACGGATACAATGCACACTATTGGGGTGATGGGCACACTTATAACTTTGACTCAAGCAATACAAAAGCAATCCATTTAACCAAAACATTTGTACCCCTGTAATATTCTGAAATTTAAAAAAAAAGAAAAAGAAAAAAGTAAAGCAGATTCAATTGGTAACATAATGATAAAAAAATATAGCCTGGCAAAAAAGGATATCAGACAGTCCAAACACTAAAATAAAGAATTGCTATAAAGGCTCATAATATTGGTTTTTAAATGCCATGGTTTCTTAATAAATTTTAAAAATTCATTAAGAACTTTGTTTTGGTTTGGCTTTTTTTGTTTCCTAGGATACTGTTTGCTTAGATGCAGACAACAACACATTTTCTCTCAGTATATTTAAAGTGACATCTTTGATAGCTGCCACAGGATCACTCAAAGCAGAACAGAAGAGTGCCTTCTGCTACAGCTTGGTCCCTGGATGTTTCATAGCAGGCATGCTTCTCAACAAATGTCTAGACATGAAGATTAGAATGCAGTCTACTTTTTATGACAGTTGTAACACATGCCATCTGTCTTTATAAGTTTTTGTTTCTTCATTAACTGTCAGTCAATTGGATGTAATAGATTCTCCCTGCAAATATTATTCATCAGCTCTTCCCTGGAATTTAAACCAACAGGTGAATGGCTCACTTTTAGAATAGTATAGTTAGAACCACAATGAGGTATGAGTAACTCCAGTGAGAATGGCTTTTATCAAAAAATCTCAAAACAACAGATGCTGGTGTGGATGCAGAGTGAAAGGAACACTTATACACTGCTGGTGGGACAGCAAACTAGTATGTCTATGGAGACACCTCAAAGAACTAAAAGTAGAGCTACCATTTGATCCAGCAATCCCACTACTGGGTATTTACCCAAAGGAAAAAAAGACACTTTATGAAAAAGACACTTGCACTTGAACTTTGTAGCAGCACAATTCACAATTGCAAAGATGTGGAAACAACCCAAGTGCCCACTGATACGTAAGTGGATTAATAAAATGTGGTATACGTATACCATGGAGTATTAAATGGTGTACTAATACCTTTGTAACAACCTGGATGGAACTGGAGACTATCCTTTTAAGTGAAATATCACAAGAATGGAAAAACTAAAAACCACATGAACTCACTACTAAATTGGAGCCAATAGATCAACATTCATGTTCACAAATGGTAGTAAAATTCAATGGAAATCAAGCAGGCTTGGGGGAAGGAGGGGATGGTTAAATTCACACCGGACAGGTACAATGCACACTATCTGGGTGATGGACACACTTACGACTTAGACTTAATCTGTACAAAAACAATTGATGTAACCAAACATTTGTACCCCAGTGATATTCTATAATAA